TTCTACATTATTGAGCAACTCTGACCTACGCCACCCAGAGTCCCTTGTCGAGATGGGCAACTCTGAAAACCAAATAAATGAATAAATTATATGGTAAGCCAAATTTGTATTCCTTTGTGATGCCGGCATCGTTATTAGGGTTTGAATAGCCTATGCAGAGGGCAATCAGGTATCCTTTGTGGGGGCTCTCCAAATGATTAAACCAGGTTTAAATTGAGAAAGACAAAGTTTTTCCTCGCGGTATATTAATACAGCAGGTCAGGGTGGGTTCTTTTAGCGACCGGTTCTCTGCCCACTTGCTGGGGGGCATAGCCATGGTGAGTGTGGCCTATTCAGCCTCCTGCACCACAGCAGGGGGCGTGGGCGTTTTCGCCCTCCCCAGGCTCCAGCAGCTTTCCTCGAGCCTCCGGGAGGGCAAAAACGGCCTCCCCTGGGCTCCAGAGGCCCTCCAGAGGCTGGAAACGGGTCCATTTCCAGACTTCTGAAAATTCTGGAGGCCTGTTTTTTGCACTCCCAGAGCCTCCACACGAGCCTCCACGCGGGCCCTGTACTTAACTGGCATCCAAACAGGCCCGCATGGAGACTCCAGGGAGGGGAGGAGCAGGGTGGGCAGGGCCAGCCAGTCCTTGCAACTACCGTTCGTGAATCAGATGTAACATTAGCATCCGAACCGCTGAATCACTCCCAGAGGTGAAATCCAGCAAGTTCTGACAGGTTCTGGAGAACCGGCAGCAGAAAGTTTGATAGTTCAGAGAACCGGCAAATACCACCTCTGGCTGGCCCCAGAGTAGGGTGGGAATGGAGATTTTGCAATAGCCTTCCCTCAGGAGTGGGGAGGGAATGGGGATTTTGCAGTATCCTTCCCCTGCCACGCCCACCAAGTCACACCCACAGAACACGTAGTAAAAAAAATGGATTTCACCACTGATCCCACCCCTGCAGCAGGTAGGAGATTAATAAGAGATTAATCAAAGACGGAGAAAGAACGACGGGCCAACTACTAAAGGGAAAACTCCGTTTAATATAGTTCACCTGGAGAGGATCTTAAAAGTCTTCAGTTTGAAGACAGAGAAAAGGTGAGCTGATTCATCTGTGCTGCTTACCCAAAAAATGTTTGTGCCCTCAAATGATGTCCTAAATCATTTTATTGCTCTGTTCCGGTGTCTGGTTTTATCGCTTGGAAATTATCTGATTTAATCATGTGTGTGCGAGCGTGTGCCTTAATTGCTGGTTTTATATAGCTGTTGGTTTTATTAATGTTTTCTCATTCTTATGCTCTTCTTTTTGTTATTATACTTGCCTTTATATTTGTAAGACACCTGGGATGGATTGGGCCCTAAAATTATTAACATTTAGCCAGTTTGGTCTGATAAGTTAACCCTAACCCTAACCAGGAGACGGTGAGTTCTAGTCCCCGCCTTAGGCAGGAAATCCAGCTGGGTGACTTTGGGCCAACCACCAGGAGACGGTGAGTTCTAGTCCTGCCTTAGGCAGGAAAGCCAGCTGGGTGACTTTGGGCCAACCACCAGGAGATGGGTAGTTCTAGTCCCGCCTTAGGCAGGAAACCCAGCTGGGTGACTTTGGGCCAACCACCAGGAGACGATGAGTTCTAGTCCCCCCTTAGGCAGGAAACCCAGCTGGGTGACTTTGGCCAACCACCAGGAGACGGTGAGTTCTAGTCCCGCCTTAGGCAGGAAAGCCAGCTGGGTGACTTTCCAAACACCAGGAGATGGTGAATTCTAGTCCCATCTTAGGCATGAAAGCAGGCTGGACAGCTGCTCACTCTTGGTCCAACCTACCTCACAGTTTGTTGTTCAGGGGAAAAGAGAAGGATGAAGGACTATTAGATATGTTCACCATTTTGAATTACTTATAAAATAATAAAGGTCAGATAAACATCAAATAGGAATGAAGATCCAGTTTTGATCACCACATTATAAAAAAAGATGTTGAGGCTCTGGAAAAAGTGCAGAGAAGGGTAACAAAGATGATTACGGACCTGGAGGAGACTAAATCATATGATGAACGGTTGCACGAATTGGGACTGTCTAGTCTAGTGAAAAGAAGGACTAGGCTGACAAAAGAGCAGTGTGTCAATATTTGAGGGCTGCCACAAAGAGGAGGGGTCAACCGGGGTGAAATGCTACCGGTTCGCACCAGTTCGGCGAACTGGATAGCAATAAAAACTACCAGTTCAGGCTAACCAGTAGTAAAAAAAATGCTAGCGAATCTAAATCTCGCGCACAGCTGTTCCCCCCTTGCTATTCTACTTACCTTTTTAAGCCTCCTTTTTCCATGCGAACCGCACATTTGGCAAGCACTGCACATGCCCGCACAACATGCATTTGATGTGCACTGCGCATGTAAGTGCGCAGTGTGCTTTGGCACGCACTGTGAATGCGCGCACAGCGAACTGGTGGAAAACCTTGGAGGATTTCATCACTGGGGTCACCCTATTTTCCAAAGCACCAGAAGGCAAGACAAGAAGCAATGGATGGAAATTAAGGAGAGAAGCAACTTGGACTAAGGAGAAATTTCCTAAAGTGAGAACAATCAACCAATTGGAATGGCCTGCCTGCAGAAGTTGTGGGTGCTCCATCACTGGAGGCTTTAAGAAGAGATTGGATAGCTATTTGTCTGGAATGGTATAGGGTCTCCTGCTTCTGCAGGGGGTTGGACTAGAAGACCTCCAAGGTCCCTCCCAACTCTGACATTCTATAACATTCTAAGAAACAAGATGGCTTGTTTAGGGCAGTTTGAGCCTAGGTTATAGGCCCCTTTGGTCTAGTAGTTAAGACACCGGGCTAGAAACCAAGAAACCATGAGTTCAAATCCCACCTTAGCCATAAAGGCTGGCTGGATGACAGTGGGCTAATCCCTGTCTCTTAGCCCAACTCACCTCATAGGGTTGTTGTGGTTAAAAATAGAAGGAGGAAGAAATATTAGGTACGTTTACTGCAGGGGTGAAATCCAGCAGATTCTGACAGGTTCTGAGAACCAGTAGTGAAATTTTGAGTAGTTCAGAGAACCAGTAGCGGAAATTTTGATAGTTCAGAGAACCAGTAGCGGAATTTTGAGTAATTCAGAGAACCAATAGTGGAAATTTTGAGTTTTCAGAGAACCAGTAGTGGAAATAATTGAGTAGTTCGTAGAACCAGTAGTGGAAATTTTGAGTAGTTCAGAGAACCAGTAGCGAAAATTTTGAGTAGTTCAGAGAACCAGTAGCGGAAATTTTGAGTAATTCAGAGAACCAATAGTGGAAATTTTTGAGTGTTTCAGAGAACCAGTAGTGGAAATATTGAGTAGTTCGTAGAACCAGTAGTGGAAATTTTGAGTAGTTCAGAGAACCAGTAGCGGAAATTTTGAGTAGTCAGAGAACCAGTAGCGAAATTTTGAGTAATTCAGAGAACCAATAGTGGAAATTTTGAGTTGTTCAGAGAACCAGTAGCGGAAATTTTGAGTTGTTCGTAGAACCGTAGCGGAAATTTTGAGCAGCAAGGTCAACCTGAGCTTCCTTAGGGTTCAAAGACCTGCCCCCCCCCTGGCAGTTTTGTATGGGGAGCTGGGACTACAAACCCCATGGTGTGTTCTTGGGTCTGACAAAAGGGGGTGGGGGGAAGGATTGTCCCAAGGTTTACGAGGCTTGGACCAAGGGCAATGAAGCCAGTGTATACGCTTGGCTAGGCATCCCAAGCTGACCATACCAATTCAGGCCCAGCTGGTCAATTCAGACCCAACCAAAAGGTTTGATGTCCGTGCTAAAGCATCAGAGAGGGAACCTGTGCCCTCCTCCCTTCCTTAAAGGTAAAGGTAAAGCTTCCCCTTGCACATATGTGCTAGTCGTTCCCGACTCTAGGGGGCGGTGCTCATCTCCGTTTCAAAGCCGAAGAGCCAGCGCTGTCCGAAGACGTCTCCGTGGTCATGTGGCCGGCGTGACTCAACGCCAAAGGCGCACGGAACGCTGTTACCTTCCCACCAAAGGTGGTCCCTGTTTTTCTACTTAAATTTTTTTTTTTACGTGCTTTTGAACTGCTAGGTAGGCAGAAGCTGAGACAAGCCACATGAGCTCACCCCCCTTACATGGCACTCGGGATTCGAACCGTTGAACTGCCGACCTTTCGATCGACATACTCAGCGTCTTAGCCACTGATCCACCACATCCCTCCCTCCCTCCCTTGGGGAGTTACAATCCCCAGCAGCCCCTGCCAGAGTGTAAGAGTTGACCAAGTGTCTACTGGAGAACTGGAGCAACCAAAAACCAACCAACCAACCATCTCTGCCTCCCTCACCCACCCACCCACCAACGGTTGAGAAGACTGCCTGGTCCGTGACCAACGCCCTTGCCCAGCATAGACCATTAGGGACAACCCAAGCAGAGGTCTCCAAAGGACCTTCTAGAATAGGTGTCCACCAGGGGTGAAATGCTACCGGTTCCAACCAGTTCACCCGAACCGGTAGCAATGGCGGCGGGTGGTTCGGAGAACTGGTAGCAACGGCAGCGCGAGGCTCTGCTCACCTGCCCAGTCGTCGTTACCTGTTTTTTATCCTCTGCACATGCGCAAACCCTTCTGCTTCATGCACTTCCAAACCAGTAGGGAAGGTAAGTAGATTTCACCCCTCGTGTCCCAATCAAGCCAGGCTAGGAGATGCTCGGCCTACCAAACTCAGCCCCAAAAGTACATTTTGATGAACTAAGAGATGCTCGCAAGCTTTGCTGATTTGTTGTTGTTGTTGTTGTCCTGAATGAACAAAAGCTGATTTAAGACCAGAGGGCTGGTCTTAAATCTTTATTGTACTGTGAGTACGATAAAACGAGGAACTAATTAAAAACAGGGACGGGGACGGGGAAACAAGGCTAGATAGTTTATGGTGAAAGCTCGGTCATGCTCTCCAAGCCCAAGGCTGATTAATCTATGGTCTTTCCCATTTCTTCAAACAATCGGGAATAATTACATTCTGCAACTGGACCACCGCTTTCGCGGATCCCCTCAACACAAAATCTAAGGCAGGACGGGACCTGGAGAAGCTCCCCAGTCCAAGCTCCTCCAGACGCACACGGCTGCTCCCCATGAACACGTCTTTACCCCAAGATGGCCAAATTGCAACCTCTCCTGGATTCGACAAAGAGGGGCCAGAAATCTTTGCCTGGCTGAACCCAAGTAATCTATAGGATCATGGGAACATGGGGGTTACCCTAAAAGCGTCAAAGAATGGAGGCCTTTGAACTCTGGTGCTGGAGAAGACTCCTGCAAGTCCCTTGGACTGCAAGGCGATCCAACTGGTCAGTCCTGGAGGAGATCAACCCTGACTGCTCTTTAGAAGGTCAGATCCTAAAGAGGAAATCCAAATACTTTGGCCACCTTATGAGAAGGAAGGACTCCCTGGAGAAGAGCCTAATGCTGGGAACGATGAAGGGCAAAAGAAGAAGGGGACGGCAGAGAAGGAGGTGGCTGGATGGAGTCACCGAAGCAGTTGGCGTGAGCTTAAATGGACTCCAGAGGACAGGAAGGCCTGGAGGAATGTTGTCCATGGGGTTGCGATGAGTCGGAGACGACTTCGCAACTAACAACAACAACAAGTAGTTCCTAAAGTCTCCGGGCCTTGGCCAAATCCATGATCAAAACATGGATACAGGGTTTTGTGCGAACGGCTGTTGCGCCTTTCCTATTTAACACAGCTGCCTCCAGAAAGACGGCGTCGTTGTTTCAACGATGCTGCAACTCGGGTTTTTATTTCTGCTCCAGTTCCCTTTTTGGCAACGGCCGGCCCTCATGTTCCAGGACGAGTGCCCAAAAACTGTGCAATGAACTGTTCGCATTTATCACTTCACTCTTCACATCGTAATTTTTTTTTTTTTAAAGGTAAATTGACTGCAGTTTTGCCATGAACTAATCTCGTTTTTCACAAGTGAACCGATCAGATCGAGGATGATTAAAAATTCCCAACAATGCTGGCTCCTATAGATTCGGGGAAGGGGGTGAAATGTCACCCCCTGTAAATAGAATTTAAACAGAAGAGAATATTTTTTTTAAAAAAATGTCTTTTATTTCATCCTCTAAAATACTGGGAGAGCTTCAAGGGGCCAAAGAGAGAGAGAGAGAAAAGTAAAGGATTAGCAACAAGAGCCCCAAGAGTCAGCAACCCAAAGACAACAGCAAAGGGCTCCTGGGAGTTGTAGTTCCATGCAGCTGGTGTGTGTGTGTGTGTGTGTGTGGTGTGTGTCTGTGTGTGATTAGGAAAAAGAGGCTAAGGAAACGTGACCCAATTCCCTTGGCCCCGGGACTGGAGAACATCAAACCAGCTACACATTGTCTCCCATTGAGAAGCTCAATTCACTACAGGTGCTCCTGGACTCACGACAGCTTGTTTAGTGACCCTTCAAAGTTACGACGCATAACAGTGGGGGAAAAGGTGACTTATGACCATTTTTCACACTTAACGACCGCGGCAGACCCCCCACGATCCCGTGAGGCAAAATCTGGAAGCTCGGCCACCGGCATGCATGGTACTTTATGACGGTTTGCCATGCCGTGCGATTCCCTTCTGACAAGCAGAGTTAACGGGGGAGGTCGGATGCCCTTAACGACCCTGTTGTTAAGATTTCACAACTGCAGTGATTCGCTTAACAACTGTGGCAAGAGAGGTCTTAAAATGGGGCAAAGCTCGCCGAACAAATATCTCGCTTAACATTGGGCTCAGTGGTGGGATTCAGCCGGTTTGCCGTTTTGGCTCCCAGGTAAGTGCAGGGAGGCCTACTAGGCCCAAAACGGGGCATTGGGACGTGAGTGCGCCCCCCCCCCCCTACAGCCCATTTTTGCTCCCAGAGGAGTGCAGGAGGCCGAGTGCTGCCTGTCACACCCCCTGGCCACGCCCACCATGGCCACGCCCACCCAGCCGGCTGATCATTAGGGCAGAGAACCGGTTGTTAAATGATTTGAATCTCACCACTGCTCGGGCTCAATTGTAGTCGTAGGTTGAGGATAACCCCGTGCTTTAAAGGGTGGGGGGGACGGGACCCTACCCTGATACAGGCACAAACCATCAGCTAATATTAATCCCCCCCTCCCAGTCAAGGAAGCAAACAGCTTCAAGCCCTGCCCCCCCGATCCTCCCCCCCCCGGGGTCAATCTTCCCTCTAATTCACATTTAAAGAAAGCCCCTCCCTCAAAAGCGGGCTTGCCAAAGGGGGAGATTAAACCTTGATGAATAGGAAATGGCCTTCCATCCATCGCAGCTGGTGGAGAAGGCGGCTTATATTCCTCCCGAGACATTCCATACCTGTGGCAGCAGGTTCTTTCCTGTAACTTAAGACTGGCTTAAGTTTTGGCTCGGGTTCGTCTGCAGTGCCCTGAGTGGGGAGGGGAGGAGAGGGGGGAAGGACTGGAATGGCCGCCTCGGGAAAGGCTTGAGTTCCCTACAGAACTCTTAGCCCAGCGAAGTGCGAAAATAAGCAGCCGTATAACGAAGGGGAGGCCTCTTTCTTGGGGGGAGGTGGGGGGAATCTCGCTCCCTAAAAGTTTCAGAGAATGAACAGGGGGATCGCCCCTCACCTTTAACCAGCCACCCCACCCCACCCTCCCACCAGAGAAGGAGTCAACGTACAAGTCTCTGTACTGGTCAAAGGCGTTGTTGGCCTCCACCTCGAGCTTCCGCAGGCGAGCCGAAGGCATGGCGCCATCTTCCAAGGGGGGGTCGTATTTGTTGCTCCAGGGTGACCTGTGGAAGGAGGAAGGGGGGGGTGGAAAAAAAAATCCCTATGATTTTCATCTCACGTCAAAAGAGTCCCGTCCGTCCCCCCCACCCGATGCTGCAGGATTGGCATGGAGAACAGACACGGCGCAGATTACTTGGGGCAGGGGGTCTAGGGTCCGGTTTGCGTGTGCAAGAGGAGAGGGGAGGGAGGCTGGGAAGAAAAGCATTAAAGCAACCCAGCCGACGAGAAGGGAGGAGGAAGGGAGGCCTGCAGCCAAGAAAATGGGGCTCCCACCCCAGAATTTTGCGGGCAATCCCTCCCTCCCTTCATTAAATTCGGAGACGGGACAGGGAAGGGCAAACAGGAAAGATCCCCCCCCCACGAAATCCTCTTCCCCATGATCTGTCAGCATTGAGGACACCCTCCACGTTTCGTCTTAGCCTCAGTGGCTCTGTTGTTCCTAGATTTTTATTTTTATTTATTTTAACCAAGCTTCCAGCTCCGTAGATTATGGAGCTTTTAATTAGCTGCATACGCTTGGGCTTTTTAACGGTTTCGGCTGTACTTGGGTGCATCTTGACGATGGAGACGATGTTAAAATCTGTTATTTTCAAAGGAATTTGAAAATTTGTGCCAAATAATTTGCTTTTCCTTATTGAAGCATTTATTACTTTATTTATTAGTTACGAATGCCCATTTGTAACTGGACACAATAGGGAAGAATCAGAATATTTTAAAACATGGAATTATTTTTACTGTTGGTTGCAAAAGAGATATAAATGATTAATTGTATAAATGTGTATAAAAAAACCTGACAGTAAGAATAGGACCATAGTAAATCAATTCATACAGTGGTTTGAAGATGACTGAGACAGAAGAAACTGCTGGTACAGGAAGAATAAAATGAACGGAAGAATTTAACACCGAGATGTCACAGGGGAGGACTGATTGATGTTTTAAATGTTTGTTTTTTTTAAAAAAAAAAATAATAAAAAAGTTTATGTAAAAAAACAAAAACAAGGTAGAGAGGTGCAGGTAGCAAAAGGTTGTGTGTATGTGTTCTGGCAGAAAGGAAGGAAGGAAGGAAGGAAGGAAGGAAGGAAGGAAGGAAGGAAGGAAGGAAGGAAGGAAGGAAAGAGAAAAAAGGAAAGAAGGAAAGAAGGAAAGAAGGAAGCAAAGACAGACAAAAAGGAAGACAGGCAGACAGAAAGAAAGAAAGAGACAGACAGAAAGAGGAAGGAAGGAAGACAGAAAGGCAGACAGACAGACAGAAAGAAAGAGGAAGGAAGGAAGGAAGAAGAAAGGAAGGAAAGAAAGACAGACAGACAGACAGAAAGAGGAAGGAAGGAAGGAAGGAAGGAAGGAAGGAAGGAGGAAGGAAGGAAGACAGAAAGGCAGACAGAAAGAGGAAGGAAGGAAGGAAGGAAGGAAGGAAGGAAGGAAGGAAGAAGAAAGGAAGGAAAGAAAGAAGGAAAGAAAGGAAAGAGACAGACAGAAAGAAAGAAAGACAGAAAGATAGAAAGAGGAAGGAAGGAAGGAAGGAAGGAAGGAAGGAAGGAAGGCAGGCAGGCAGGCAGAAAGAAAGAAAGAAAGAAAGAAAGAAAGAAAGAAAGAAAGAAAGAAAGAAAGAAAGACAAGACAGTCAGTCTCTCTCTCTCTTCCTCCCTCCCTCTCTCTTTCTCTCTCTCACACACACACACACGTCCTAACTCACTCCTCACAGAAAGGATGAGAGGTAACTTTATCCACCAGAAACCCACTGTGTTACCCCTCTCCAAAAAAAAAGTGCTTTTAGAGCAAGCAAGTGCTGAAGACACATTTCAGGGAGGCGTTCTGAGAAAAGGCAGATGGGAGCACACACATGCACTCCACACACACAAACACACACACACGCACGAACGAGGGATGCGAGGACCTGGAGGTGGTCCTTGGCCTCTCCTCGGTTTCTGTCGCAGTCGAGTCTTGTCAAGCAGCCTCTTGGAAGACACATACACACACACACACACACACACGCACAAAAGAAGAGTTCCAAGAAGGCGGTTAAAAGCGAGGGAGCGCACGGAGGATTTTTATATCCATGGGGCTGGCTTTCGTCCTCCGGAGGCTGCCGCTGCTTGACATTCCCCAGATGTGTTTCCCACAATAGGGGGTGAAGAGGGGAGCAGGGCCCGTCTGGCAAAGGCTGCAGATCAGAGTTTACCAACTTATTGGGTATGAGCTCGCTGGCCTTTGGGTAAAGAGAATACGGCACAGGGGGTCCCAAACTTAACAAGCATTTGTTTCTGACTGTTGGAAGTCACAACATCACTGACCTAGGCTCCCCAAGAGCATGAAGCAGACTCCTTGTCCCGACAAAAACTCCCTTTTTATTAAGTGACTGTGAATTCCTCTCATTCACATCCAGCAAAAGTCTTTCAAGGGAGAACTGACAGTCACAGACCTTATCTGGCTTGGAGAGCTGCCAGGCCGATATCTTCAAAACTTGGCAAGGAGAGTCACGAACCAATTAAGTGAATGAATTGTCTCCTGCAAACTCCCCTCCCCTTTCGCTCCTCTTTCGTTCCCTCTGGGAGGGGCCATTCGTCGTCCACCTGTGGCTTTACTCCTGAGTCGCCCCTTGTTCTTTAGCTGTTCCCTTCGTCTGGCAACTCTGCGCATGCCTTCGTCTGGCAACTCTGCAATAGTCTGGAATCTGGGCTATTCCCAGGCCGTTTCAGCAGGAGGATAGGATTATCTTGAAACTCCCCCCCCCCCCAAAAAGGGGTTTTTAATCCCCCAAACCCAAAAAAACACCTTTCCCACAAAGTTTCCACAATTTGGGCCACTACTGTATTTGCCCCCAAGCCAGAGGAGGATGTTAGTCGGATCCTGTGGAGAGAAAGGAAGCTTGATCATTCCTCACCTGTAAGAATCGCCATCCCGGTTGTAATCGCACAGAAGGTAGTCCTTGCCTACCACTTTGTCTCGAGCGATCTTCAGAGGCTGGTCCACAGAGGACAGGAGGTCTTCACAAAGGCTGGGAACCTGAGGAAGAGGAGGAGGAGGAGGAGGAGGAGGAGGAGGGAAGGAGACAGGAACCAGCAGTCAGGGCAAACACAGCCAGGGCTCTGGGCTTCCTTACGCATCACTTGTGAGCTGGGTTTTAGCTCCACCACCTTCGGCCCGTCCAGCTAAAGCAGGGCTATCAAACTCAAGGCTTAGATCTGGCCCGCCTTGGAAACAGCGAAGGACCGGCCCCCAGTGCCTCTGCCACTGAAAACGGAACTTGTGAGGGCTGTGCGCGGAGGGCCCCCAGGCCCCATTTCCCGTTGGCAGAGGGCTGCAGGAGTCCGTTGTGACTGAAAATAGGGGCCAAAGGGACGCACATGGCTCCCCCGAGCTCCATTTTCGCTGGCAGAGAGTTGCAGGAAGCTGTTACAGCTGAAAATGGAGCTCAGGAGCCATTTTTGCTGGCAGAATGCTCGGGCCACCACAGGCACCCCCTCCCCCATGAGTGAGGTTGAGCTGGCCACGCCCACCCTCCAACACAACCATGATGCGGCCCTCAATGAAATCGAGTTTGACACCCCTGAGCTAAAGCAATGCAGAAGATCTGCAGAGCCCAGGAGCGGGATTCTACCAGTTCGGGCGAATTGGTATTTCCGACGATGGTCTGGAAGAGAACCGGTTTGCTCCGATGATCAGGTGGGCTCGCCCTCCCGCCCCTACGCTTTACTGACCTATATCTTCTCAGCTGATTCGCGCGCGTTACTCCCCAATCACACTTGGCCAATAAAAAATTCTATTCTATTCTATTCTATTCTATTCTATTCTATTCTATTTCGTATTTTCTATTCTATTCTATTCTATTTCGTATTTTCTATTCTATTCTATTCTATTCTATTTCGTTTTTCTATCTATTCTATTCTATTCTATTCTATTCTGTTCTGTTGTTCTGTTCTGTTCTGTTCTGTTCTGTTCCGTTCCGTTCTATTCTGTATTTTCTTTTCTATTCTATTCTATCCTATTCTATTCTGTATTTCTATTCTATTCCATATTTTCTATTCTATTCTATTCTATTCTATTCTATTCTATTCTATTCTATTCCATTCCATTCTATCCTATCCCGTATTCTCTCTTCTCTTCTCTTCTATCCTATCCTATTCCGTATTTTTATTCTATTCTATTATCTATTCTATTCTATTCTATCTATTCTATTCCTATCCAATTCCGTTCTATTCTATTCTATTCTATTCTATTCTATTCTATTCTACTCTATTCTACTCTATTTATTCTCTTCTATCCTATCCTATTCCGTATTTTCTATTCTATTCCGTATTTTCTATTGTGTTCTGTTCTGTTCTGTTCTGTTCTGTTCTGTTCTGTTCTATTCATCCATGTGCGCACATGAAGCACGCAATCACCGGCAGGATCCCACCATTGGCAGAGCCCCCCCCCCTTTTCTCCATTCAGGCCTTCCTAAGAAATCCCACTCCCCTCCCATTGTGATGTTTGAAAGACAAGCTGTTCGTCTTTATGGTGTCAGCCTCCCACACACTTGTGGGAGAAAAAGAGTCTGGTTTGGTTAAAAAAAAAAAACAAAAACCCACCATCCTTTTGATGAGGTTAGGGCTACCCTTCTGGACTGCTCCTTATCTAAACCGGGTTTCGGGTTTGGCTTTGATCTCCGGCTTTTGAGGGGATGACAAAAGGCAGATAAAAATGTGTTTTCTTTTAATGGGGGCAGAGGAGAGATTAGCAAATGGCACCATTTTTCCATAAAAGACAGGCAGAGCAATGCCGTTTTTTATCCCGCCCCCCCCCCCCGCTTTTAGTTCATACACACATTCATAAAACTTTCCCACCAAGGGGAGAATAAACCATTCAGCCTTTTCACTCTTATCACCCTTCCTTCAATTAAGATGATCAACTAAAGATGATCAAAGGCTTGGAGACGAAACCGTAAGAAGAATGGCGGCAGGTTTTGGGTCTGGCTAGTAGTCTTAACAAAAATAAGAATTAGGGGTGACATGAGGGCAGCCTTCCAGTATTTGAGGGGCTGCCCCAAAGAAGAGGGGGGGGGGGTCAAATTAATCTCCAGAGCACCAGAGGGCAGGACGAGAAACAATGGAAGGAAACTAATCAAGGAGAGAAGCAACCTGGAATTAAGGAGAAACTTCCTAACAGGGAGGACAATTAACCGGTGGAACAGAAGTTGCCTTCGGAAGTTGTGGATGCTCCAACACTGGAGGTTTTAAAGAAAAGACTAGACAGCCTGAAACGGGATAGAGTCTCCTGCTTGAGCAGGGGGTTGGTCTAGAAGACCTCCAAGGTCCCTTCCATCTGTTATTCTATTCTATTCTATTCTATTCTATGCTATTCTATTCCTATTCCTATTCCTATTCCTATTCCTATTCCTATTCCTATTCCTATTCCTATTCCTATTCCTATTCCTATTCCGATTCCGATTTTTTCCATTCTATTCCCTATTCCCTATTCCAGTGATGGATAACCTTTTTGCCATCGTGTGCCAGAAGTGGGGGGAGCGCAAGGGGGTCGCGTGTGTGTGTGTGCCCACACCCATAATTCAATGCCCCCCATGCTCCAACCCACCACGCATGCGCGCACAACCCCCTTGCCCGGGCTCCCCCCGCTTTTGGCATGCGACGGCAAAAAGGTTACCGATGGGCCCAGAAGGCCCGTTTTTCACTCTCCCCAAGCTCCAGAGGCTTTCTTGGAGCCTGGGGAGGGCGAAAACGGCCTCCCCCACCCCCCTGTGACCCTCCAGAGGCAAGAAACAGCCTGTTTCCCAACTTCCGGTGGACCCGGAAGGCCCAAAAATCAGCTGGCTGGAGCACGCATGCACGCTGGAGCTAAGCTAAGGCAACGCTTGCGTGCCCACAAATATGGCTCTGTGTGCCACCTATGGCATGCGTGCCATAGGTTCGCCATCATGGCCCTATTCTATTCCCTATTCTATTCTATTCCCTATTCTATTCTATTCTATTCTATTCCCTATTCTATTCTATTCCCTATTCTATTCTATTCTATTCCCTATTCTATTCTATTTCTATTCTATTCTATTCCCTATTCCTATTCTATTCTATTCTATTCCCTATTCTATTCTATTCCCTATTCTATTCTATTCTATTCTATTCTATTCTATTCCCTATTCTATTCTATTCTATTCCCTAATCTATTCCCTATTCTATTCTATTCCCTATTCTATTCTATTCTATTCCCTATTCTATTCCCTATTCTATTCTATTCTATTCCCTATTCTATTCCTATTCTATTCCCTATTCTATTCTATTCTATTATTCTATTCTATTCCCTATTCTATTCCTATTCTATTCTATTCCTTATTCTCTTCTTTCTCTTCTCTTCTCTTCTCTTCTCTTCTCTTCTCTTCTCTTCTCTTCTCTTCTCTTCCCTATTCTATTCTATTCTAGCCTATTCCTATTCCTATTCCTATTCTATTCATTCAGATATCTGATAAATCAGCTTCGTTCAGGATTCAATTTCCCTTCTGTCTGTCATCTCGTGTAAAATGCTACCTTAAAAAAAAAAAAAACCCTCACTCAGTCCAAAAAATGTCAGGCATCCTCAGTCAGCACGAGCGCATAAGCCACAAGCAACAGAGGTCCCCAAATAAGGAAATGGAACTTTTTTCTGCCAAGCCACAAAGAGACCAACACAAAGAAAGGTCCTCCCACGGCAATCCGTTGGCCCCATTCAGTGGCCTTTCTCAACATCTGGAGGGAAGACTAAGGTTTAAGTCTCGACAGGTTGATGTGCGGTTATTGGAACGCATTGCTGCACCTTCTCTTCTGCACAACCACACACAGAGTTGCGGTCTCTGGAGATTCTCAATCATCCGGGTCTAAAAGTCGCTTTGTCTCAATGGATTCATGGCTGGCAGAGACATGGTAACAAGGTCAGCCAATGAATAGAGCTTCGTAACAAAGTCAGCCAATGGGAGCTGAGACGGTAAGGAGCCTGGGCGTGGCTTAGCCGTGCTCAGCTCTGAACGCTGTGCTGAGAATTGAAACTGAAACTGTTCTCTCCACTGCCTGCGTTTTGCTTGTAACTACTACCATGTTGGAAGAATCAGCTTTTGGTATTGTATATTTACTTATGTGTTATGTATATAAAGAGAGAGGGACACGGTGGCTCAATGGCTAAGACACAGAGCTTCTCGATCGAAAGGTCGGCAGTTCGGCGGTTCGAATCCCGAGTGCCGCGTAACAGGGGTGAGCTCCCGTGACTTGTCCCAGCTTCTGCCAACCTAGCAGTTCGAAAGCAGGTAAAAAAAAAATGCAAGCAGAAAAAATAGGGACCACCTTTGGTGGGAAGGGAACAGCGTTCCGTGAGCCTTTGGCGCTGAGTCACGCCGGCCACATGACCACGGAGACGTCTTCCGACAGCGCTGGCTCTTCGGCTTTGAAACAGAGAGGAGAACCGCCCCCTAGAGTCGGGAACGACTAGCACATATGTGCTAGTTACCTTTACCAATATAAAGAGAAGTGAATGAATCCTGCTGAATCAGTTACCTGTGTGTGCTTTCTGGATGTGATTGCTGCTGCAAACTCTTGACAAAATGGACTTTCTTGGTTTTTGGGGAACCGGGGAAGCTTCTCGCGTGAGAAGTGAAACATTTTCGAAGAGGAAAAAAAAAAAAACCCGCCAAGAAAGTCTAGTCGCCTTTTGGGAAAAAAAAACACCTTTGGGATGGCGCAGGATTGTGTACACAGACAAAGGGTAAACACTCAACTCCTGCCCCGTTAGCGGGAGGGGGGTGCCCACTCGTGTGGTCTTACACAGCTCAACCGTAGCCATGTCTGCAGATGCGTCGTACAGCGTCTGCTTCTTGCCAAACTTGCTGTAAAGCAATTCCTGGAAGGGGACGACGGGGTAAGAACCTTTCAAAAATGGTAAATATTTATCATGGAAACCTAAGAACTGCTAAGAGAATAAGCTGACCGTGAATGGCAGCTTCATTTTTTTCCACTAGCTCATGCTCAAGGGTGGAGTTTAATGAGTTT